CCACAACTCATCTGGTCTTCGCTCATTAGTGTTCAAGGCCTCAAACCTGTTCCTGAGATGATTCTGAAATTCAGGTAGTATGAAATCAAAGTCATATTTTGGCTCCTGTGGATTTGGTTTCATTTTCCTCAGCTTCAGCTTGAACTTGCATATGAGTAATTAGTGGTCTGCTCCACAATCAGCCCCCGGCCTAGTTATGTGATTAGTCTCCAAAATAAAAGAAATAAAACATATTTGTGAAGGCACAAATAATATCTATTCTTTCAAGTGGATTTTAAATGCATTACTCTCTCATCATCCTCCACAGCTGACCTTCAAGTGGGTTTTCAGACGCTGTAAATCACATAGGAGGAGACTGCCTATGGTAGACTCCACTACATGTCTATGATTATCATCACCTCTTCCTATCATAGTCTTAGATCTGGAGGGCAGGGCTTTGAGACTGCAATGTCCCTGCACTTCAGGAGATCCAGGCATGCTCAAACAGTTTCTGAAATGAGGGAATAATTCAAACACTAAGGATTTCATTTCAAATTCTTACTGTCAAAATTTAAGTCAAAGTCATTGCCGTGGAGTTGGAAGCATCTCCCAAATGACCTTCTCACCGGTTTTCTGAGGCTGTGAATCTCAAGGAGGAGACTTTCCATCCTTCTCCTGTGGAGCCACTGGCAGCTTCAAACTGCCAGAGAGGTGTGTGTGACCTTCATGTTAGCAGTGCAGCGCCCTACAGACTGCACCATCACAGCACCCTCACCTTAGCCACAGATTTTGTTAAAAGGCAAACATTAGTAAGTCTTAAACCTGTGGGCATAAATCCTGAAAACGGTGAGTAGTGGGCAGGAGTGGGCTAAGTGTGCTCCGTGCATCAGGAAGCCAGACACACAAATGATCAAGCTGCTGACAGAAAACGAATATGTACAAAACAAAAAAGGTGCAGAGAAGAATCTAAGCATATTTAGATCAATTTCTACTAAAAACAGCTAATACCCAATTCTAACACAAAGGGTGGGTTCTCATCTGTTGAAAAGATGGGATTATTTTTTATGTCCTTCATGTGCTTCAACTTGTTTTCTCATAGATGGGATTGGAATAGAAAGGGTAAATGGTACCTGGGTAAGGGATTTTCCCATAGGTGACAATTTCATACAGGAGAATCCCAAAGGACCACACGTCAGACTTAATCGTGAAACACCCAAAGTTGATGGCCTCTGGAGCTGTCCACTTAATAGGAAATTTAGCACCTTAAAAAGAATAGAAAAGATCATTATCTGGCATCTGAACTTTTAAAAAAAGGCAGATGTAGTCTGTGACTTCCACACATTTCTTTAAAAACCAAACAAGAACAAAACCTTTATTATTTATTTTGAATATATAACACACATGCAAAATAGAGCTAGTACCAAACGCTATACTAAAAATTACTACCTTATACCTCTCATTTGGGTGTTACCTTCTTAAGAAGTAAAGTTTTGTTTTATTTTTATTTAAAATAAAATTTTTTGTTTTATACTGGTTTACTTACAAATTTGTATACATTGTTTTTCACACTAGATCTTTCCCCTTTTATTTACCCCCCTTTACCTCCATCAATCAAATTATGTGACCCTATGATTAACTACTCCCCTCTGCTCCCACCCTCTCTCCCTTGGATCCTCATACACATTCTTCAATAATGGTCTTATACAGTATTTGTCCTTATCAGACTGAGATACTTCACTTAGCATAATGCTCTCCAGGCCCTCCCAAGTTAGGTAGTAATTTACAAAACCATTGCTTCTGCATCCTGCATAGTATTCCATTGTATGAATGTACCATAATTTCTCTATCCATTTGATTGCAGTTGGACATTTGGGCTGTTTTCATGTTCTTGCGATGGTGAATAATGCTGCTATGAACATTGGTATACAAGACTCCATTTGTGCCTCAGTTCTCCTTCTCTCAGGTTATATTCCAAGCAGTGGAATAGCTGGGTCATACATAATGTCTATGTGCAGCTTTTTAAGAAAATGCTAAACTTCCTTCTAGAACGGTTGTATCATTTTATAATCCCACCAACAGTGTATGACTTCCTATCTCACCACATCCTCTCCAACATTTATTATTTGCTGTCCCGTTAAACTTTGCCACTGCTATGGAGTGAGATTGTATATTATTGTGTTTTTTATTTGCATCTCTCTTATTGCCGGTGATTTGGAACATTTCTTCATGTGTCTGTTGGCCACCTGAATATAAGAAGCAAAGTTTGTGGATTTCCTTCTCAAAGATATAGCTAGTTGTTGTTAAGTACAAAAGAACATGAGGCAGAGCATACATTTATTATAGCTTACACATTTGCCCCTGAACATCTGCCTCTAATGCCTCTTTAACAGTCATTTTTACCAGTGAACAGATCCTACATTTATGTGGAATACAGATATATTTTTTATAATTTTTATTTTATATAGCTTACAAAGTTTGTAGATATTGTTTTTCACACTATTCTTCATTCACATTGTGTTTCATACAATCATTCTCTGATGCATTATGTTTTCTTTTCTCTCTAAAGTGCCTTTATTGACTTCCAATTATTTCATTTGACTATTTATCTAGACCTTATAATAGTCTAGATAAAATCATGCTTCAGGAAAGCACTAGTCTGGGATGTGAGAAAATGAACTTATTTGTGCCATGCTCTAATAAACATTGTAGATTTCCAAAACCAGCTTTATCACTACTACTTTGGGTCTTTAAGATAGTCTTGAGGACTGGAAAGGCATAACTGAGACTCAAGATCGCTCAGCCTCAAGGATGTGGGAAGTAGAGCCATGCCAGCATCTTTAAGTTTCTAGGGGCTTTTGTAGAGGAAAGCCCAGGATGCACATCCGGTTTCTCCCTTCATGACCCATCAGAAAGCCCATCTCAGTTCTTGGTACAATCAATTCCAAGAGTTTATGGTCACACATAAGTATCTCTTGTTTGGAGGTCCTCAAAGGAAGGTGTAGTTATTGGGGAGGTTCTCCATACTGATGCCAGCTGCAGCTATGGATAGTTCAGGTACTATCAACTCGGGTACTTGCAACACAGCCTTATTGTCTGCAATTTGAGAGACAGTTTTTAGGTGTGAATGTAGCTCTTTATGTAAGGGACAGCTGTTCTCATTCCAGCGCCAGCAAGTCCTGACATGATGGGGGGTGTGCAGCTCCTTGGTCGCTGCATGACCTTCCATCTCTGAAGATGCTGTAGGATGTTGGTAAGAGGGATTTCAAGATATGGTGTGGCTCCTAAAGTCACCATCTCACAGTGGAGGATTCCAAAGGACCAGACATCTCCTCTGATGCCAATAGGTCTCAGGGGAAGCCGTTCTGGGGTAAGTCACTTGAGAGGTATGGTTTGAGTAAAGGAGCTGACCCTGTGGGAATGGACTTCATAGACCAGGCCCAGTCTACAGCGCTTGGCAATATTACAACAAATCAGAATATTCCTGGCTGCGTCATCCCCATGGAACAGATGATTTATCTTGGAGGAATTCCAGAACCAAAAGGACTTGTTCCCCAATGTGATACACTTGTGTTTTGGTGAGGTCATAGAGAAAGCCATCCATCAGCACACCCCTTCCCTGCAGCGAAAAAGCTAAACAGACCCCCACGGGCCACATCTTCTAACACCGTGTAGAGTGGCAGCTCTTCTGTGCAGCATCTTTCCAGCTGCACCAAATTCTTATGCTTTCCTAATAAAATTGCATTCTCTCTAAGAAATCTTGCACCTCCAGTAGCTCTGCTGATTCTCTTAAAGCCTTGAGAATGACACTCTTTGCCTGAGCAGGATCCCCAGTGTGCATTGGCTCGATAGATGGCTCCACAACTTATCACTGTGAATCAGCTCCACAACATCAGAGAGTTGTTCTCAGGGCACTGGCAGCTTAGTCAAGGCAGGTGTGGTGGCTTGTAGGAGGCTTACCACTGAGGTCTCAAGTCTCACAAGCATGTTTTCCCCAACTCCTGCTGCATGAAAACTGAGGTCCTTTGGTGGAGGAAGCCACGGTGTCGAGAAGTCTGTTGTTGAGCTCCTTGTCCTCTGATAAAAAGTCATAGGATGACCCCAAGGAGAATGAGAACAGCACAAACCAGATGTGCTGGGCCAATGATAATCTCAGACTGCTGTTGGACAATACACAACTTGTCAGTGAGGCTGCAGACCAGTGTCATCTGTGCCACCATCCTCTCATCTCTTACTGCCACCGTGCTGTCCGCTTCTGTACTAGAGTCACATAGCATGCCCAGGGCACAGCTGCAAATAATCCCCAAGGACTGAGTGATTCCCCAAACTCCATGTTCACAGTAGTGTCCCTCCTCCAGTCACTCTGGTTTCGAATGGAGCTCTACCAGCCAGGAGAAAAATAAATGCATGACTGGTTTGGATAGGGAAAGGTGCCCCCATGCATTATGTTTTATAAAATTAGCCACCAATGGACTAGGCTCATCATTATTCTGTCTTTTCTGGTTATATTTTTAATGCTTATAATTTTTTTGTGGAAAATTATCCTCAGGCCAATTCCAATAAGAATCTCAGACAATACATCAAACTTGAGAACATAATGTGTCCCACTCTTTCACTTGGTAGGAAGCACATTATTGGACTTCTGGTATTGGAGAGAAGGATGATCTTCCTGGCAGGAGTCAGTGATGAACCTAGATACTGATGAGAAGCTGAGGAGGCTCATGGACACTTCCTGCCTGGCCCACAAGGTCTGCTGCAGAACACTTGTGGTGAGACCCTCCCAGTGGCCGTTCTGTCCCACGATGTCAGAGTCGAACTGCACTCCACAGGGGTTCAGTAGCTGACTTTTCTAGAAGCAGATCACCAGGCTTTTCTTCGGAGGCAGTATGAACCTCCAACCTTTCAGAGAGTAGCTGAGAATAGAAACCATGTGCACTCATGGACTTGGGTGTGTACTCTTGACTTGTCAAATTCTTCATAACTGTCAGTCATGCAGGGAGCTAGCTGTGTGCAAGTGACAGTGGGGACAATGTACCTGCTTGGGGGACTCCCACCTCACTGTGCATGCTCTAGGAGCACACATAATACTGAAAGCAGAAAATAAAGGGGTCTATTTTGGTAATATTATATTTAGTTCTTTGTCTGCTAATGTCCATATTTTAATCTGCAGTTGGAGAAGCAAACTAGATTTAACATTGAATACAGAATTCACATTACAAATACTTTCTCCGTTGTTGAGGAACGGGTGTGCAATTAGTTGTGTAAATAGGTTTAACATATATAATATTAAACAAATAAGCATGATCTTGTCAAGTTAATGCTTTCTTTGCTTCGACTAACTAAACTATCAGACTCAAAATCTACCAGGTTTGAGTCAGTTCTGACTCACATCGACCCTCCAGGACAAAGCAGAACTTCCTCATGGAGTTTCCAAAGCTGGAAATCGGAAACAGGCTGTCTGTCCAGCAGACCTGCAGGGGGTTTGAACCACTCACTGAATCTTTGATTAGCAGCCCAAAGCTTAGCTGACAGTGCAGCCAAGGCTTGTTAACTGATAGGTACATTTTAGCACTTCTAAACTATAAAATGGGAGCTCTTGCAGCCTGGTGCTAAGAAGTTGTGTTGCAATCCCATAGGTACATGGTTCGAATCTACCAAAAGTTCTGCAGGAGAAAGATGGATAGTCTATTCCTGTGTGATTTATTGCCTCTGAAAACCTGCTGGAGGGTCAGCTATGGGTTAGTTTTGACTCGACAGCACACATCAACAACAACATCAAATTACAGAAGGAGAGTTATGGCTGAGTAGTCCCTAGGAGCTGCGCTGCCAACCCAAAGGTGCTGCCAGTCTGGCGGTTTGAAATCACCAGCCACTCCATTGAAGAGAGATGGGCATTCTTACCTCATGTGGTTTACAGTCTCCAAAAAGCCACTGGGGGCTCGGCTATGAGTTGATTCCAACTCAGCAGCAAGGAAAGTGGTGGAAGTGGAGAGAGACAGGAGAGAATAAAAACAAAGCCCTGGTGGCAGATTGGTTTAAGCACCCAGCTGCTAATGGAAAGGTTAGTGGTTTGAACCCACCAGCTGCTGCTCTGCCTGCAAGAAGTGGCAGCTTGCATCTGCAGAAACTCTGGCCTTGAAAACCTTATAAGGTGGTTCACCTTGTCCTCTAGGGCTGCTCAGGGTCAGAATCAGGGTGGGAGCAAGTTTGAGTTTCTTTGGTTTTAAAATTTGTAAACACATAATTTAAAGTAAACAAGAAAGTGATTTTGAAAAACATTATTAGAAGAGTATGACGAACTGATCAGTACACTTTTTGTGTTAAGCAGTGCAGTTCACTGTGGGCTAACCCACAAGAGCTTTCCAATACAGCACACTTTTAAGGTTGTGTCAAATAGCTTCATGATGAGTAATGCAATTGCTTTGGTGAAAACAGACAAAACTAAACGACACAGCTCAGCAGCTGCCTCTGGACGCACCTTCCCGGGCAGTGTACTCATTGTCCTCGATCACACGCGCTAGGCCAAAGTCGGCAATTTTGCACATCAGGGCCTCAGACACCAGGACATTGGCTGCTCGCAGGTCCCGGTGGATGTAGCTCTTCCTCTCGATGTATGCCATTCCTTCTGCAATCTGAACACAGAGAGGGCGCTCACTTTTGTGCTCACGCGGGAGCCCTAAGGGTGTGCCAACCAGGATAACTGAGGCACGGGTAAGTGAAATGCTTTGTGTCTGCAGGTAAATACCACCCGCTGCAGCGATGCCTCTCTGAAACTGACCCCAGCTCTCACAACCCTGCTTGCTGAAACAGAGGAGGACCTGAAGCACTTGCTGTGGAAAGTCAGGGACTGCAGCCTTCAATATGGATTGAAATTCAATATCAAGAAAACAAATATTCTTATCACTGGGCCGATTGGCAGCATCAGGATGGATAGTGAAGAGATTGAGAGTATTCACAGCTTTAGTTTGCTTTGGCTCCACAATTAACACTGTTGGTACCAACAGCCAGGAAATTAAAAGACATACTGCAATGGGAAAGTCTGTGGTTAGATACCTCTCTAAAGTACTGAAGAGTAGTGATGCCAGTCTGGAGACTAAGGTGCACCTGATACATGGTGTGGTCTTTCCAATCACTTGCTATGCATTAGAGAGCTGGACAATGACTAGGGATAATAGAAGGAGAATTGATGCCTTGAGCCGTGGTGTTGGAGAAGAGTATTGAATATACCATGGACTGCTAAGAAAATGAACAGGTTTGTCCTGGAGAGGGTAAAGCCAGACTGCTTCTTGGAGGCAAGGATTCTGAAGCTTTGTCTGACGTACTCTGGACATATTACAAGGAGGGACCAGTCCTTGGAGAGGGACATAATGCTTGGGAGGGTGGAGGGCCGGCGCAGGAGAGGAAGACTCTCGATGAGATGGACTGATTCAGTGGCTGGGATAATGGGGATAGGTGTGTGAGAGACAATGAGATTAGCATAGGATAGGGCAGCATTTAGGGCTGTTGTGCATAGGGTCACTAGAGTTTCAGGCAACTCGATAACAACAACAACAACTTTCTCAACACTTTCCAGCACGTGTTGAGCATCTTTATAAAATCCCACCAAGTAAATACATAAAAGCAATAAATAAAAGGTAATATCCTTAAAAATATCCTTATAGCCTCACTAAGTTCCCACATGAAGACAGATGTCATCACCCCTGGGGGGAAAATGATGTGCTGGCACCATAAATTCTTGGGGTGGAGCGAGCAGGATGTCCGTGTTCAGGAACTGCTCCCAGGCCAGCTTGTGAGCAGTCTGAGGAAACAGTTTTCCTGTTGGATAGTCTAAGAGCAGATCATGGAAACAGGAGAGAATTTGATATTTAAACATGCAATAAAATAGGGGAGATTAAAACAAGCTGCTTATTAGAAAATGTGCCATTGTTTCAAACTAAGGTTGTTAAAGAAACTATAAATTATAAAGGCTCTTAAAAGCAGAGGTGACAATGCAAAACAAAGAATCCCAGGTAGACATGGTTAGTGAACAGTTAGTGGGACAACTCCAGTTAGGATTAGGCCTGAATGGACATCAATGTGGATTCTACCTTGAAGTCAGATGGCTCAGATCAGAGAGCCTTCAGCACCTGGCTTTCCCCACGCACCTATGACAGCCCGAAGTTACGCTTATCTCAAACCCTGCATCATCAGGCTCTGTAGCTTAGGGAGACACTTGTTGTCAACTAGATCAAGCTCCCTGAGGCCCCCACGTGGAGCGGAACACTAAGCTTTTCAGGGGCTGATTGCAGAAGTTTTTCTGACCTGGGTGCCTCAGGTGTCTCCACCACATATTTGTCGGTGGAGGCTTCTGAGTTTCTGCACTGTTGGTTTCAGCAGAACTTCAAGATGAAATGAAAGATCAGTTCACTGTCCCTGGACATCCATGCCTCACTCTCATCTTGAATGCCTTTCTTTTTCTCTCAGCTAATCCCTCAATGTATTTTTGCCTCGGAGCCTCATCTGAACTCCTCCTCCAGAATTCCTTATTAGTTGCCTGCAACATTCAGTTTGTACAAAAATCATTTGCACCTACTGAAATTGGCTCTGTAACTGTTCATAGGCTGTTTTTTGTTTGAGAACTATTGCTAAAGCAAATGGACTATAAATACCTTTAGATCAAAAGCCATGGCCTAATTTGCTTTCTATTCAAATTTTTATCTATTGGAATCTTTATTCATGCAACCCTCCTTCTTTTCAGAGTCAAACAGAGTTCTTTGAAAAATGTGTATGTTAGGCTTTCTATATTCCCAGAATCCTGTGATATTGGCACATGGTTGCTTCAATTTGATAAACACTGTTTTAAAAGCCTGATGAGGGAGCTCTGGTGGCATAGTCTATAGAGAATTGCACTGTTAACCCAAAGGTGGTGCTTTAATGGTGGTTCAAATCCACCAGAAGCTCCAGCTGGGCAATCTCTTTCCAGACGGAGAAAAGCTTGAAAGCGTCAATGATTTCATTTTACTTGGATCCACAATTAACACCCAATGGTAGCAGCAATCAAGAAATCAAAAGACGTACTGCATGGGGAACATCTGCTGTCAAGGACCTCTTCAAAGTGCTACAGAGTAGGGATGTCAGTTTAAAGACTAAGGTGCACCTGATCCACGCCATGGCATTTTTAATAGCTTTGTAGGCAACTGAAAGTTGGATAGTGAATAAGGAATGTCAAAGAGGAACTAATGCCTTTGGACTGTACTGTTAGTGAAGAGTACTGAACATTCCATGGACAGCCAAAAGATCAAACAAATCTGTCTTGGAGGAAATGCAGGGTGCCCGTAGAGGCAAGGATGGTGAAACTTGGGCTTATACACTTGGGACATTTTTTAGGAGGGGACACTCTGCGGAAAAGCACATCATGCTGGGAAAGGTAGAGGGTCAGTGAAAGCAATAAAGACCCTTAACAAGACGGATTGACAAATGACTTCAACAATGAGCCTCAACGCAACAGGGGTTGGGAGGGTGGGGCAGGTTAGGACAAAGTTTTAATCTGCTTTTTCATTGGGTTGCTAAGAGTTGTGGTCGATTTGAAAGCACCTAACAATATTTTTGTAGCCATCAATTTTGTCTGATAATCCATGCAGACCACACTATTCTCAATGTCTAACTGGCCTAGTATTTCAGACAGAGGCACCAAAGCAGCCTATTCTGAATGGAGAGAATTCTAAATTTAGGAACTTGCCAAGAATAAAGATGGTCAGATCATTTTTAAAAAGGAAAGTGCAATTCGGGAATGTTCCTGTAACAGCGTCCTCATCCAGGAGCGAGTGTACATTGGAGAAGAGGAAGTCCACCATCATGCTGGGTGCCTGTCCTGCTAACCCTACATCCATCTCTGCACTCAGCACAGCATAAAACTGGTAAGATGCCAGGTCATAACAGGGAACTTTGTTCTCTGCAGAACTTCAGAGTGGGCCAGGTGCTGAGGAGAGTGAGAACCAGACAAGTCAGAGAAGGTCTGGGTTGACCTTGAGAGTGAGGCAGAGTACACCTGTCCCCTTCCCTGGGACCTGGGCCAGCTCATCACTTGGAGGCCCCAGGGCACAGCACCTCTAAAGGATGTGGCTTCTCTAGAGCTGCAGCCCGACACCAGCAGGTGGCATGGTGAAGGCAGTAGGAAGTGAATGGAGAAGATGGTTCTGGGGTGGGCACTGCTGAGAGAGGGAGGGCAGATGTGAGCCCTGCAGTGGAGGCAGGAGAGTGGAGCAGGTCCTATGCTTCCTGCACTCTGCAGGGACCTTAATGCCAACAAAATTGATGAGAAACAGCCAATGACACAGAGGATATTTGAGAGCGAAGGCTGGGCTAGGCATGTGTGAGAGAATGAAAGGTGAAAAACTATAGGAAAACAGAGCAACAAATCTGGGCCTCTGAGATGGAGAGACAATGTTTTCTCAAATGAACAAGCAACAATGGTTCCCAGAGGCAGAGGAGAGGGGGACCATTGTTGCCTTCACCCTGCTGCCACCACCTCCAGGCCTTTTCCTCAACCACTTCATGCAAGTTCTCCCACTTCCAACCCTTGGGTTTTAGGTAAAAACCAAGATGCTGCAGAGGAGTCTGCTTTAATTCATGGCAATGGCAAGCATGTTGGAGCAGATCCAACATCTGAGCACATCATTTTGGGTGGACCTGAACTACCAACCTTCTGAGTACAAGCCAAGTACTCATCTGCACCATTCATGGCAATCATAAACAAAGACTGTGCTAGAAACCTGAAAACAAAACAAAGCTGGCTGAAGTCTGCGCCAAGGCCTGAAACACCACAGCCACGGCCCTTCCTCCCTCCCCAGGAAGCTCGCTGAACACGCTCCTGCACCTGCTTTCTGGTGACTGCTTTCTGGACCGACAGGTTGAAGAGTCGGGACCACCTGAGGGCCACACTGCTCTCATTCTTCATAACTGATTAAGACGATCTGCTGATCAAGAGGTATTTCTGGGAACTGGCTGGTAAGGGTTTTATCACAGCTACACAAGTTCTGCATTTACAGATCTGCATGCAGATTTGAAATGATTCCCTCTGTGTAATGAAACAGAACATCAAGTTTGGGTATTTGGGGACATAGTGTTAATGCTGCTCAAAAGGAACAACGGTGGTTCCAACAGAGGACAAAGAAAGCAACCCCCTACAGATAGCACCCTGAATTTAGACCTTTACCCCTTAAATGGCAGAAGAATAAATCTCCACTTGTGGTATTTCTGTTACAGTAGCATTGGATAACTAAGACACATGCTTTGAGGAGTTATAATATTCCAGACAACAATAGTAATATGAACCAAGACAAAAAAAAATAAGGTCAACCAAATAAAAAAAATATAGGCACAAGAGCTATAAAATAATTTTCAGATAGAACTTGCCTTTAAGGTCATAAAAGATTACAATGCTTCTCTTATATAAATGTAGTCTATTCTCTTTGGTACTCCCTTGCTCTGTATGTGCCATTCATTCTTGGATTCTTTTTAAAATCTTGGAATCTCCCCCCCCCACCCCCAGTTATTATATTTACTTTGGCTATAGTAAATCCTGCTGTTCTGAAATAGCAGGGAGAGATGGGAGACTATTTTGGCAATGGAAAGGAGGAATGACTTTCTTCCA